TTCCTGTTCAGACTCAGATGTTTATTAATTCTTATCTGTGTTACAGTGAGTTCTACAGCACTTCAAGATAACAAACTGAAAATGGAGATCTAACTCTCTACAAGGCCTTTTAAGCCCAAACTGTCCAATTAAGAAATGTCCAATTATTTTTACTTTTAACCCAATAACCAGCCATGACCCACAATGCAGAATTTTCTATCCAAGTAAATAAAATCACCCAGACCCATAAAGAAGAAGGTGAAAAAGAAAGACAAAACCTCCACCCTAAAACCTGCATCTTGTTCTATAAATATCACTTTAGTCTAAAACTTTAAACTCTTAAGTTTTCCCCATGTGATATTCCACATTCTATTCAAACTACACACCCATCATCCCAGTTCTATCACTCAACTTTGCAATTTTTCAACTTTTTTCTCTCCACATTCTCAGGTCAAAAGCAGAGTTTTCCTGGGGCTCAGTGCCTGTCAGCACAGAAAGTAAAAAAATTCTTCATTTCCAACAATTCCCTGCTTTTTTCTTTTTTCTTTTTTCTTTTTTTTGTTGTTGTTTTTTTGACTTTCCCATGGAATTTTGCAGCCAGCAGAAAGCAATCCTGGAGGATTTGCTCACAGACATCCCCGTGCACTTTGATTTCCTCTTCTCTGACTCCCACGCTGAGGTGATTTCTGGGAAGCAGGAAGGTAGGTGGGCCTTGGGAAAGGAGCTGGGAAATATTTAGGAATTCCAAAATTCCTAAATGATTTGGGGATTTTTTAAATTGTTTTTTTTCAAATCTTGCTTTTCTTGAGTGCCTTTATTCCTCAGTAGAAGAATAAATTTATTCCTCTCTAGTGTGGGAATGATGGGAGCTCCTGATTGGCCAAATATTTGTTGATTAGCCCTGAAAATTTAATGGAATTGAATCTGGAAAATGTTTAGGATTTCCTTTAATGGAATTGAACCTGGAAAATGTTTAGGATTTCCTTTAATGGAATTGAACCTGGAAAATTTTAACTTTTTAAATTTTAATGGAATTTAATCTGAAAAATATTTGGGATTGCCAAGGGACGATTTGGGGAAGCTGGAAAATATTTAGGATTTCTAAGGGATTATTTGGGGTATTTTTGTGCTTTTTCCAAATCCTGATTGGTCAAATGTTTGCTGATTATTCCTGAAAATTTAATGGAATTGAATCCATTTCCTCTGGAGGGAGGGGGGAAGGATAAATCACAACATTCCTGATGGAAGGAACTTTGCAGGATGAGATGATTTTGAAAGCAGAAATATTTGAGTTTATTTTATTTTAGAGATATTTTGAAAGTTCATTTCCTTCATTTCTTTCCTGAATTTTACACATTTAATTCATTTAATCAGGAATTGTATCGTGGCATTGACCTTGGAGAGGAAAAAATCATCAGGAATCCCTGATTTCCCAGGAATTGATGATTTCCCAGGAACGTTTAACTTCTAAGATTTTATAAAATAAAAAATAGCAATAAAAATAGGAAAAAAACCCCAATTTCCATTTGCTTTCAAGTTCATCATTTTGATATTCCTGGAATTGCAGAGGTGTTTTTTCCCCACCTGCAGGAGTCTATGCATGGATTGGGATCAACTTTGTCCTTGGAAGATTTGAGCACACGGATGATGGTGAGGATTGGAGGGGAGCTGGGGGCTCCAGCTGGGGATTGCAGCTCCAGACAGATGTTGGGATGCCATTCCAGCCAGATGTTGGGGTGCCATTCCCTTTTCCCTGTATGCCATTGATTTTCCCATTGATTTTTCCCATTGATTTTACCCTGTTTCCCATTGATTTTTCCTTGTATCCTATTGATTTTCCCATTGATTTTCCCCTGTTTCCTATTGATTTTCCCATTGATTTTTCCCATTGATTTTCCCATTGGTTTTTCTCTGTATCCCATTGATTTTCCCATTAATTTTCCCATTGATTTTCCTCTGTTTCCCATTGATTTTCCCCTGTTTTTCCCAGAGGATGAGGCCGTGGTTGAGGTGCAGATCCCAGGGAACGATTGCAGGGATTTTTCCCTGTATTGATTTTTCTCTGTATCCCATTGATTTTTCCCATTGATTTTTCCCATTGATTTTCCCCTGTATCCCATTAGTTTTCCCATTGATTATCCCCTGTATCCCATTGATTTTTCCCATTGATTTTCCCCTGTTTTTCCCAGAGGATGAGGCCGTGGTGGAGGTGCAGATCCCAGGGAACGATTGCAGGGATTTTTCCCTGTATCCCACTGATTTTCCCATTGATTTTTCTCTGTATCCCATTGATTTTTCCCATTGATTTTCCCCTGTATCCCATTGATTTTTCCCATTGATTTTCCCCTGTTTCCCATTGATTTTCCCCTGTTTTTCCCAGAGGATGAGGCCGTGGTGGAGGTGCAGATCCCAGGGAACGAGCACCACGATCCCATTTTCCGGAAGAGAACCGTGGGGATCCTGGACATGGGTGGGGTCTCCACACAAATCGCCTACGAGGTGCCCCAAAGTGTAAGCCTTGCCTCCCCTCACCAGGTCATTATCCCTGAATTCCTTCCTCCCTCTGGAATGATTTTAACTCCTCTTCCTTTCTTTCCCATCCTTTGGAATCCTCCATCCCATCCCATCCCATTCCCAAAAGAGAGACGATGGCAGCGCGAGGATTCCAGCTAAGAATTCCTTTTGTTTTCTTCATCACTCAGATCCTGCATTAATCCTTCATTTTTTTTTTGTCTTTTTGGATAATTTTAAAACTCTTCAATTCCAACATTTACATCCTGGGGCTTAAAACCTAAAAATTCCTGGTGGTTCCTATAAAAAAAATCTTCCATGAGGATGACTTTTTGCTTTAATATTTGGGGAAATGGAATTAACTGTTACAAATATCACCGAATTTCTATGTTCCAAATGGAAAGGGAAGGAGAAGGGAAAGGGAAGGAGAAGGGAAAGGGAAGGAGAAGG